TATCTATCTTTAATTAATTTAATGAATCTATTATTTGTAAATTTTTATAAATAAGTATAATTGTTTAATTTATATATCTACATGAATTAGTTTAAATATTTATTCTTTTTGATTAATTTTTAAGTAGACCTTTTAGAATAACTTAATAATATGTAAAATATGTTATTCTTATTACTGTTAATTCTATTGTATTCTATGATTTAAAAACTGTCTTAATAATATTAGCTAATTCGTTATTATTATTAAGTTTTAACTTATTTGTCATTTTAATAGAAAGTATCTATAAATTGAATAAAAGAATATATAAATATTTAATTTATCTCATTTTCATTTCTATAGTCATATCTTGCTTTTAAATTGTTTGTATTAGTATTTAAAATACATTTTATAAGAAATGCAATGATTGGTTGCCTTTTTATTTTTTAGTAATTTTCTTTGATATTTTTATTTATTAAATTATTTCTGCATTTATTAAATATAAACTATTTATTTAATATGTTTCTAATATAATCAATAAAGAATGCTATTGAATTAAAATGAAGTTATTTAATATTTTTAATTTAGAAAATTTTTTAATGAATATATATAAAAAAACATATCAAAATTAATAACTTTAATAATTATTATTTTTTTATTTTTAGATATATTATATATTTAATTTTATATTTATTTTTATTTAAATTAAATATTTAATTTTTTAATTCATAATAATATTTTACAATTGTTTTAATTACTTTATTAAATATTTTTCTAATTTTCTTTTTTATATATAATATATTTAAATTATTTATACAAAATTAATAGTTTAAAATAATTATAAAATAATAATTATTTGCTAATTGAGTATATAAAAAATAAAACTATAGAAATTGTTCTAATAAAATATAAATGATTAATTATTAAAATATATAAATATATTAATAAATTTAAAATAATTAATTAATAATATTTTATTTTATAAACATTTTTAATTTGTATATAAGATATTTTTTTTAATATTATTTTATAAATAATTTTTTTAATTTAATATATAATTTATTTATCATAAAATATGCCTTAAATCATTTTCAAATTATAAATTATATCGAATTAAACTAAATTAAAAAAATCAATTATTATATTAATAGTAATTTAAAATTTTTTAAATTTTTAATGCATGTATTTTATATATTTTTTTACTTAATTATATTTTTTTTTTAAAAAAAAAAATCTCATTTTAATTAATTGTTATTAATATATAATAATTTATAATATATTATTTTGTATATATATAATCAATATTGAAGTTAAAAATAAAATAAATTTAATTTTTTTTTTACAAATAAATTATACTTCACAATTTTATATTTAAATATTTTTTAATTATTTAAATAAATTAAATAATATGTATTTTATTTTTAATTAATTTATACTTTTGATTGCAAATATAAATAAATTATTCCTTATTTTAATACTTAAAAATAGTAATGATAATATAAAAATTATAATAATTATAGAATATAACAATAAATTAATATATATAATGCATATTTATATACTTTATATAATTTAAAGTTTTTAGTCATTCATATAAATAAACTAATCAAATAATAATAAAAAAATATTATAAATTTTTATTATTTAATTTTATACTTAAAATTAATATATAATATATATAAAAAATATATTATAATATATTACAATTAAAATTTAATATCATTTAATAAAAATTAATATATGAATATAAAATTAAACATAATGAAAAAAAATATTTTAATAATATTAAATCTAATTTTAATAGTTTATACTCAAAAATAAGTATAGTTATAAAAATGTTTATTCGGTGATTTTGTCATAAAGGATATTGAAAATTGTGGTTTTGAAATGAGAGGACTTGCTGGAAGTGATTATGTTTCTAAATGTGCTACATATACTCTTTTAGGAGGGTATAATATATGCGGAAAAGATTGTGTTATAAGTAATAGTTTTAAATCAATTAATCCTTTATATAGTTATTAATTCACTTTTTAGTTTATGTTGATTGATTCATGGGATACTAATGAATATTTCATTATTATGGTAAATGGAAATGAGGTATTTCGTGCATAAAAAGTTGATGGAATCAAAAATTTATGTGGATATATGACAAATGAGAGAACTTAATCTGCAATTTTTGAATATAATACTAGTGATTAAAATATTGAAGTCAAATTTATTAATAACTTAGATTAAAGTCCTAACAATGAATCTTTAGGTATAAACGAATTTGTAATTTATGCTAATGAATGTATGGCTGGATGTTTAGAATGCACTGACGCTGTTTCTTGTAGTAAATGTCCAGTAGGCTAGTATTTAGAAACAGGTAAGTGTATTAATTGTATAGCAAATTGCGAAGAATGTACAAAAAGAGATTCCTGTGATTTATGCAAAAATGGATTTCTTTATAATGATTTTAAATGTAATACGACTTGTCCAAATAATAAATATGTAGATAATACAACTAGAACTTGCAATGATTGTAATTTTAAATGTAAAACTTGTTCTAATGCAATCAATTGTAACACTTGTTATGCAAATAGAGTTCTTGCAAATGGTTGCGGATGTCCTGTTAATAATTATGATAACTTGAAATACTAAGAAGCTTGTTTTCCATGTTCTAATATATCTGCTGGATGTTCTACATGTGATAATGTTACGTGCTAAGCATGTCTAGCGCCGAATTTTTTAGATGGTAATTTATGTGTAATAGACTGTCCTGCAGATAAATGGGGAAATACAGCAACTAGATAATGCACAGCTTGCTAAGCTAAATGTTTAACTTGTTCTAATGGCAATAATTGTGACACTTGCTTTTCAAATAGAGTTGTACCTAATTGCGGATGTCCTGTTAATAATTATGATAACTTGAAATACTAAGAAGCTTGTTTTCCATGTTCTAATATATCTGTTGGATGTTCTATTTGTGATAATAAAACGTGTTAATCATGTCTATCGACGCATTTTTTAGATGGAAATTAATGTGTAATAAACTGCCCTGCAGATAAATGGGGAAATACAGCAACTAGATAATGCACAGTTTGCTAAGCTAAATGTTTAACTTGTTCTAATGGCAATACTTGTGACACTTGCTTTTCAAATAGAGTTGTACCTAATTGCGGATGTCCTGTTAATAATTACGATAACTCTGATTACTTATAAGCTTGTTTTCCATGTTCTAATATATCTGTTGGATGTTCTACATGTGATAATGTTACGTGCTAAGCATGTTTACCGTCATATTTTTTAGATGGAAATTCATGTGTAATAGACTGTCCTGCAGGTAAATGGGGAAACACAGCAACCAGATAATGTAAAGCTTGCTAAGCTAAATGTGTAACTTGTTCTAATGACAATACTTGTGACACTTGCTTTTAGAATAGAGTTCCTTAATAATGTAATTGTCCTTAATATTCTTATGATACTAACGTTTTCAGTTAAACCTGTACTATGTGTTCTACTTTTTCAACTGGATGTGCTACATGCAGTACAACTGAATGTCTTACATGTATAAGTCCTTATTATTTTTAATTAAACTCAAATGGATAATGTGATTCATGCTTAAGTATAATGACTAAAATGCATTTTAGTAATGATTTATTGTCTTTAATTATATATTTTGATAATTATTTTACTAATTTGTAAATTGATCTTATTCTCACAAATTTAGATTTCTAAAGTTATTCTTCTTAAATATAATTTACTAATTAGCTTTGCATTGAAACATTGGATTAAGCCTTTATTTCTTCTAAATTATAAGGAAATATTTTGTGCTCTTTCAACAAATCTTAAAAGACACTCACAGTTTAACTTGATACTATTAGTACTGTTAATAAGGATGATATAATAAAAATAAAACCTGGTGTATTTAAATTAACAAATAATGGATTTGATTGTCCTGATTTTCTATAATAAATAATAGGAAAAGTAATTTTAGACGCAAGTCCAGTTATAGAGTTAACTTAAACAAGTCCTGTCTCAATATGTTAATAAGCATAAATAAGAATATCTAGTGTTTCTAATTTATATATATTTATAATAAATTGATATATTTCTAGACTAAAAAATGTAAAAAAGCATAATAAAAAGAAATTTAATTACAGAAATTATTTTTAATAAGGATTTTAACGATGAAAAACAAAATAAATAATTAGATAATATTTTAAGAAATAATGAATAATTTTTTTAAATAAAAAACTAAAATCTAATAATAACTTCCATTAAAAAATTAATATTTTTTAAAACAAATATTATTTATAATAACAAAATATTTTATATATTTTACATATTATAATGAATTTTTATTTAATATTTTTATCAAAATAAATAACATAAAAAAAATTTACAAAATAGTTTTATTAAATTATTTAATAAATAAATAACATTAAAAACAAATTTAATTTTTTTTTATTATTTAAATATTTTTTTTTTAATTATATTTATTAAGTAATTTGTTTTTTGAAAAATAAAATTTAGACTAATTATAATATTAAGATATTTAAATAAAAAATGAAAATGATGCATAATCTATCAATTTATTAGGTTCTTTGATCTCATAATAGCTATAATCTGAAAAATTATAATGGAAAATAAAAAAAATAGTACCATTAGAAATTTAATCTAACACAATAGAAAATAATAATAATAATAGGTCAATAACTGAAAATTAATAAAAAGGAAATGATTAATTGATAACATAAAATCATTCATCTTCTTATAAATACGTTAAAGATAGTTATAATAAAATAAACTCATAAACTAGAAGATGGCTATAACCTGACAACGATAAGGATAAAATATAAGATTCAGAAAATAATTAGACTAAACTTTAAAAAAATAATTTGGTTAAAAGAAAAAAACATTAATCTAGTTTAATTCGATTGTAAATTTAATAAAACTAATAAATAAATAAAAATGTGAAAAACGACTATAAATATGAAGAAAAAACAAAGGATAGTGGCGATTAAGTTTAAAAAGGTTTAAATAAAATTAGTTAATCAGACTAATAATAACAATAAAAAGTTTAATTAAATCTATTAACTAAAAATAGCTACTTATTACAAATAAATAATAAAATGTCTTTTTATAATAAGATTATTTTATAAAACTTTTTAAAAGAAAGTATAATATTTTAATTTATCTAGTTTACATGAATTAATTTAAATATATATTCTTTTTAATTAATTCTTAAGTAGGTCTTTTAGAATAACTTAA